TCCGCCACAGTGCTGGGTGTCGTGGGTGTTTAGACAGATTGGGTGAGGCGGCAGATTCCATTCTTCCGGCGGTGGACGCGCGGCTAGGGTGAACCCTTCAAACCCAAACTCAAGCCTCGACAACGGCTGCGACAGGCGATGGGTAGCCGGCACAACTCGAAACGAAGACTGCCATCTCACAGATCAAGTGCGCGGGTTGATGGGAGACTAGAATGGTGCTAGTGACGTACTTGTGGTGGCTCGTGGTGCGAAATGGTCGAGAATCTGGTAAGGACAACCCAGGTAAACCGCCGGCAATGCTCTTTGAATTTCTGTGTTGCAGAGCCTTCAACACCAAGGTTGGCACGTTGCATGCGACCAAGTTGTGACAGCCAAGAGTTGAGTTGAACAGCGGGATGGGCTGTGAAACCCGTACAGCTCGATCCAAACTCTACTGCCGGAAAGAGAGGTCTTCGGGGTCCTGGCCTTGTTCAATGGCGATGGGATGATGGGATTATAACCTTAATCAACCGCAGGTGCCAATGCTGCTCACAGTTCCTACGTGCCTATCAATCAAGGTGAGCTCCGAGGAACAAATGCAAGACTGAATGAAATATCGATGTCAAGTAAAATATGCCATGAGCAACCCCTACGGTGGTCCAATCGCGGATGCTGGCACGGGGCTGGAAGTTCGCCGGGCCATCGGCATGTCGGAGACACGCCCCAAGCTCATATTGAAGATTAGGGGATTGAGGATTGAGTGAGTTACGTCTGAGCTCAACCAACAAGCTAAGCCCAAACAGTCTTGGATGCAGCTTGAGTTGCCCGTTGCGGTGTTCCAGTCTTGGGGATTGAGCGGTTACCTGTGCCGAACGCTGGACGAAACCAGCATCTCTGAAAAGTAGCGTCGAACGTGCTCTACGAATAGGTAGTCAATCGCGGAAGCGTAAGACCCCTCCCCCACGAGTCAAGGGCTGATTCGGCATCTACAGTGTGGGGGGAAGAATGAGCAAGAATTGCGTGTCGGTACGCATAGCCGTAGCCTTGTATGCGTCAAGCTTTTTGCATCCACGATCCCCTCATCATCCGTACGGATAGGCCGCTCAGGACCCGGCCGACCAGATGCGCGGCCATGATACTGATGGTCCGCGGAGGCCGCTTTAACCAGTCGCCAGGGAACTGCCCTGAATGCTCTCGACTTCTCAAGAGACAGGGATTGCTCTTTACTCCCGCGTATTGTCCCTTCTGAGTGGAGCCCACGGGTATTGGCCAGTGGGTTTGGTGTGGTTGCTGACATCTCAATCTCATTGCGAGAGTGACAAGAAGCTTGACATGCAAAGCGCTGGGATCTAGATCCAATCCAATGGAATAGACCTTGATTTGTTGGTTAGAAGGAATTTGCAAATATTCACCACAGTTCCTCGGCAGCGCAATAGGTTCGTGTTTTTTTTTTTTTTTCATCTGGTCTCGATGTCAATTTGATAGTCCGGCAACAGTGTTTAATTCGTCGCATGTGTGTTTCCTGGATCCAGAAAAGTGAGGTGGTTTCATTATATGCCGTCATGTCTGAACGCCAGCAATTTGCAACGCCAAGACGGATGGATGCCGGTGAAAACAATTCCTCCTGCTTTCAGAAACCTTGACTAGGTACTGGCGGCCTTCCACCATACCTTGCGTGCCGAATGTTGTCAGGTGTATAACTTAAGATGAAATATGGCAATAGGCGTTCACATTGGCACTGGGCTAGCCTGCCATATGAGAGGATGGTCGATCGAGCCCTGTCGGGATGATAGAGGGCTGTCGCGAGTGTGCTGAATGATAGCGTTGATGTGTGTGTGTGTGTGTGACCCCTTGTAGCTGATGCGAATTCAGGAAGAGAGGTGCAAGGAGTCGCGTGCGATTCCTCTAGTCCCATAATTATACGGATAGATGAGCTTGTGAATGGTTAGATCAGTCGACGGAAAGGCGATACGACGGTGACGGGCCAAATTCTCATTGCTGGCAAGGTGCTGACCACCGGTTCCATGTGGGGATGGTTGCGAACAGCTTAGCTTAGGCCTAGGCTTCACAGCGCCACTGCTTAAGCTTGTCAGTTGACTATGCCGATCCCAGATTGTGGTGGTCGCCGACTCAGGCTCGAGTGAGGAATTCAATGGTGGCATGCTGAGAACTTGTCTCAAGCTTGAATAGGGCCGGCGATCACAGATGAGACTGAGGAAACAAGCCGTTGGTCGGTCCCCAGCCCAGGATCCGTTCAATGGTGTCCTCGGCCTTGCAGCCAGCAAGACCGGCGCATCGCCCTGCTTGTCTCGATCGTTGGAAAGGATGAGACTTTGGAGACGCAGTACCTCATGTAGGTACTCCATAGTCCACTTGACTGCAGTCTGGGTTTGGGCCTCTAATGCAACCCAGCCAACGAAGGACCCGGAACCCAACCGCCATTATGTAAGTGCTGAGAGGTTGGAACTGTATTTCGTAGAACGACAAGAGAAGCGAGGCGCGCGGGATGCTGTCAGAAGTAACATTCCATCTGGTTTGCAAAGACTGCAATGGCTTGGAGCCTTAGACAACCGGGCGTGCCAAGACAGCTAGCATGCGAATAGCGTTACGGGGCTTGACGGTTCCTCTTCGGCTGGCGATGCTCGTTGTCCGACGGACGACCACTTTTTCCCTGCTCTTTCTTCATTCCGCTGGAGCTAAAGTAGCCGCTGTCGGGATTCGGAGCAAAAAGAAAACAAAAAGCAGGACAGATAGCGTCGCTCATCTGACAAGGGTTTCGCAAATTGGTGCGATGTGCTTGACTACTTGTGAAACCAAGTGAGATGGGTTTCTTGTGGCGCACAGAAAGGCATGCTGAAGCCAGAGTGTGCCTGCAGAGCTTTTCAGCCTAGCTACCTACAGTGGCTAATCCTTTCGAGAGATGGGTGCCGGGGATGCTTGATGATTGGAGAGGATGACGGCAGATGGGCAACAAGGTTGTGGCTGGCGTCTGGGGCTAGAGCGAGGCAGAGGGACAGCAACTGGTCGCCAGAACTCTGTTGACCGTCTTTCAACGACGACAGTGACACATGACAGCGAGGCAACGCTGGAGTCTGAAGGTCCTGCTGAGTGCGTTCCTAGGTGGTGATGATGGTTCTTGGTCCGGATGAGATGGTGAGCTGTGGTCTAGGGTCGGTCGAGGGCATTCGAGAGCTGGCAAGGACCAAGGTTGGGTACGTGAGTAATTGCGAATGAGGGCAGCAGCAGCAACATCGGACCAAACAAAGTCAGTCATCCGTTGACGTGCCGAAGTGATGATGCGGTGACTGGTGAGTAAGGTGAGTAAAATGTTACTCTGTAGAGCTGGCAGAACGGAAGAGGATGAGAATGCCGGAAAGCTGGGCAGGATGCAATTACCGTACAGAGTAAGGCACGTACCTACCCCGTACGTATACCGCGTATGGGCACTCCGTCATCAACAATTGTCTGTACGGGAGGACGGGAGGAGGCTTGACGAATGATGGCTGTGCTGTGCAAGGGCTACGCAGTTCGCCGTGAAGGAAGGAGTGGGCGGGCACTGGGCAGGGGGTGGAGGATGGAGCGATGGTCATGGAAGGCGCCAAGACGCGTGGCCCCCAGGCCACCAGGCGCAATGGGAAAGAGGAGGTACGAGAGTACCTTATCTCGTACCTGCTCTGAATCATGGCACTTTCCTCAGCTATACTTACCATGCCATGTAGTACCTTAGGTATTGTAGATCTCAAAACTTCCAATCATCCAAAATGAACGACTGCAATTCTAGGGATTGCGAGGGAAGGTCCAGACAGAGTTGAGCGTCCCGCCGCAACGGTAAGGTAGGTACCGTCATATCTAGAGGGAATCCAAGGAACCTGTCAGTCAGGAAGGCAGGTTTGAGGCTGCGAGAGTTTATGATGATGGGGAAGGGCCCGAGGAACGGTGAGCAGAAACCCGAGATTTGCACCTGCCCCGTACCTTCATCCACACACGATAACCTTCCCAAAACAGCACTCCGTTCCATCTTGGAGGGGACGGATTGTGTGGACGTACCCAAGCAGCACACGCAGCAGGTGCAAATTGAGGTAGGTAGCTGCACGCGAGTCTGAGCCTCTGCAGGAAAGAGCCAAGAGCCACCCCGGGCCAAGCGAAGCAAGGAGCGACATGAACAATTGCCTGATTTGCACATGCCCAGGCTCTTCTTCTCCTACAGGCTACCGAAGTGCCTTAGGTAAGGTACTATACTAAGGTATGGGGCAGGTACGAATTGCATGTATGGAGTACGTACTTGTATGATGTACCCGCAACGCAAAGCAGCAGGGATGCAGCGCAAAAGATGAGAAACCCAAAAGTCTTGGCATCGCACCCACTGTTGCCGTGTGTTCCCACCTTCTTGCTACTCACTGGACAACTGCGCGTTGCCCGCGAGCCAAATCCGCCCTTTCTTGCTTTGCTTGGCTTTGCTGTGTGTTTCGCTCAGCCAGCCTACCGTCAACTCCTACCGAAAAAATGGTCCATCCGTTTAAATGAACGGCGGAGCCCGCCTCTTACTACGCCGCTCGTGAGTCGCTGCTTGCACCCCCCGTCGGCCGCTTCTTGTCCCCTTTCTTCAACATCTTGTTTTCCTTCCTATCCCCCTTTCTTCTACGAGTCGGTCGCATGATCAGTGTCTGTCTACCACTCGCTGTCTGACGCTGTTACACCAGAAGTCGGCATCGAGATTCACCATCCTCTCGACGGAAGGAAGATACACGGCCACCAACAAGTCTAGCCACGAAACAGGCAACGAGCATTTCACTACGCACGACGACGACATCATCACGACCAGCCACACGACGTCCCGATTGCATTGAATGTGCTTGTTGTTTCGAGCGATTAGACTTTCCGACTTCAAGAACCACCCGATCTGATTCCCGAGGGCTGTCCTTTGCCGGTTCAAACCACTACAGGACGAGCACACAACATTCTAAGAGGAACGGAATCCACACTCCCATAACACTCTTGGAACCCCACGCAACTCAGACATCATGGCCGACGTGAAGCCTCCTAGCGGAAAATTGCCGTATGGCACTCCCGAAGGCGGCTGGAAGGCAGTACACACATGGAGAACTCCGGACTGGGTAGAACCAATCGTAAGGATCACGGCCATTTCGCTGCCAGACCACCGCAGCCGCAGCTTCACGTCATATGAATCCTCAAGGCTAACCACCAGCACCAGCTGATTGTATCCATCATGCTCATCGGCTTGTACGTCAGTCGGAGGAAGAACTATTCGATCCTCCGCCGCGGAAACGCGACATACGAACCTCTATTTGAAGAGAGAGGGGACTCACCCCGCATCTCCGACGAGTCCTACGATCCTATCCGGACCGATCCTTTCCCGCCCAAATACCGTACCATCTTTGGATGCTATCGCGTCAAGACCCCGAACTCGAGCCGTTTTGCGAGACATGTTCACTCGAGAATTCTGCAAAAGTTCCCCTTCCTCATCGAAATGTTCTACTGGGCCATCTCCTTCTTCTTTTACCGCATGACGGCAACCCTGGCTCAGAGCTACTACGGCAGCAGAAAGGCTGTCTGGGATGTCGCACAGGAGCACGGCCTGTTTCTTCTCGAGACCGAGGCCAAGTTCTTCGGCGAGGGTACCAGAACCGGTCCCGAGCGCTGGGTTGAATGGCGCGTTTCTCACTGGTTTCTCGAGGGCGCTCAAATCGACGACTTCCGTGGCATTTGGCTGACCATCCTGAACCGCGGATACTCCCTGATCCATATCCCTGGTACCGTCGGCTTCATTGCCTACTACTTCGCCATGGCTCCCACTCACGCTCGCTTCTGCACTGTCCGTCGCACAATGACCTTGTTGAACATGTGTGCCTTCATCATCTTCATCTTCTACCCGTGCGCGCCGCCCCGTCTGATGCCCTCCGAGTACGGCTTCGTCGACACGGTCAACCTCGAGAACGCCGAGAGTGTCTGGATGAGCGGCAAGTTCGTCAACAAGCTGGCTGCCATGCCCTCTATGCACTTTGGCTACGCCTTCGCCATCGGCTGTGTTTTCATCGCCGACTCGGCCATCCTCAACCTTCTCTTTGGTCGCTTGAGGAACTACCTGCTGCGCAACGACTTGGACAAGTCGCTGGATATTGATGACGTCGAGCTCAAGGAGATCCAGGAGAACCGCGCACGCTGGAAGAGCTGGGCCATGTTCTGCTTCGGTGTCTTTTATCCGAGTTGGATTCTGTTGACAATCGTCGGCACCGCCAACCATTACCTCATGGACGCCTTCGTCGCTACCTTCTGCGCGTTGGTTGCGTACCTCTGCAATCGTGCCCTGCTGGTTTTCCTCCCCGCTGAGGACATGTTGCTCTGGGCCTTGAGACTGGAGAAGCCGGTGCCGACAACGGGCCGCATGAAGAACATTGCTGTCCGGTAGAGAATTCGGTTGTGTGGGAAAAGCGCGTCAAAAAGACATGGAATCAAGGTCTCTTTGACGAGTCGTCCATTTAAAGCATCGCAGAGGCGTTGGGAAAGGAATAAAGGCCTCCTTTTATATCTTTGCACACTATGCCCCTGGGTCAATCCCGTGTGTGCCGAACTAGCACTTGTAATGAAAATCTATCCTGTTTGTTTGTCTATTCTCCGAAGCTCCGCCACACCCACATCGATGAAATGTCCATTTTTTAAGCTCCCGCGACATGTCGCTTGTCCGTATCCGGTGGATCTAGGGAGATCCGATTCGATTGTCCGTGAAAAGGATCAACTGTCTGTACAACGTGTACTACATGTCATTGGCTTTTTGAATGAGTGTAGGCCATTCCGGGACATTGTTCGCTGACCCTGCAGGACTTCTTTGGCGCCCGGCTGATCCTGGGAACGAAAGGGCAGCACCCGCTGCCCGACTTCATTTGCCAAGCCGAGATATCCGTGCGTCGTGTGGCCTGTTTGCCTGCTGGAGCTGCGAGGAGCGGTGGCCGACGGGGCCGGGAGCCGGTCTTTGAGGTGATGAATCCGGCCCTTAATGGGAGTGTTATCGAGATGAGGATATGAGAGTTGTTTCTTGGCAGTCCCTTGTGCCAAATTCTGGAATTATGGAATTGTCATGTCCTTGGAGTCTTGAGGAGAATAGGATTCCAAGGGCACCTATCCACTGTATGGTTTTGCCGAGATAGCCGTGAACTTGTGGCCATTGCCTTGCTCTTTCTTGGTCGCGATGTGCTGCCAGAGTTCTCGATCTAGCTACACGGTCAGTAGGATTCCTGACTTCGCTTTCGCTTTTGGGTTCGCCACAGAACTCTCCTCCCAATACCCGAATTTCCGAGACATGATATCGCATAGCCCGCGTCTTTAGAGTCCGCCAATGAATCGGCCCGCGAAAAGGTAGTGATAGGCAGCAGTATTTGCTTTAGAGTCTTTAGGCAGCAGTAGCTAGAGATGCAAGGTCAGCATTGAAAGGAGAATACGTCACTCGGCTGCGCCTGTGTACATCATCCATTGTTTTATTGCTCTTTATTGCTCCTTGCACTTGTTTGCGTAGGCGCAGTGATCTTTGATCTGCCAAGACGCCATGGAGTGGTAGAGAAGTCAAGTTTACCGTATGGGTAGATGGAGGTCGCATCGATGTGCGTTGATTGTATGCGTTCCGCACCTTTAGAGCCATATTGCTGAACTGCGTGGGTGAGTAGAAGAAACATCGTGTACGTTATTTGAAAGCCGTATGTCGAGGCTTGATCCTTTTACTCCCTCGTCAAGTCTCGTCAAGGTGCTTTATAACGACTGACCCTCTACTGCGGGGGAATGGTCGCAAAGCCAGGAGAAAAACAATCTATTCATCTAAGACAGATAAATTCATATTTTAATGGGTGGTGTATGCCTCAAGACGACATTGGTGTGTATCCTATCTGGTGAAAGATGTTGTCGTAAATGCCGAGACCAAATTGTACGCAACAAGCTGGGGCTGTCTGAATAATGCAGCTTTCGGAGCAGCTGCAATCCCACGAGTAGAATGTGATAACAGGAACCTTTATTTGGTTGAATACTATCGTTGTTTTCACGCCGAGATTTAAACCAGCCAACTTAGAGATCCGAAGCCATTGTCAGCGGTTACCGAGTCTTGATCTTGAACGATTACTCATCCCGCGTTTCTCGCCAACTAATGTCATAGAGGCCGAAACTTGCCATTGATCATTAATCAATAAACTGGAAGCTGAAGCGTACAATGCATCTGCGCTTGACATGTGCGTAAAGTTCTGCTTCCCGAGTGCGCTGCGATCCAAGATTTATGACAAAGACGACACCGGGGGAATTATGTAAGTCCTGCCACGTCTTTTCAAGAATAGCCATCAAGGCTTGCTATTGCAGGAGGGACGGCGACTTCAGGAAATGGAAACTGATAATTAGTCAGCTCCGAAGAGCTTGTAAATCGTGCACTTTGGTTTGTTAATCATTAACTTCATCATCATGACAGTCTGATCTTTGGGGCTTGCGGAAGGGGGGATCGACCGCAAGCCAAGGCCACTTCGTTCAAGATGGATATATAAAAGACACAATGAGTGTCACCATCATTGAGTCGGTTGACATTATTATCAAACACGATCATCAGCATCATCAGTTAAAGCAATCACCTAAGGTATTCTAAACTATGTCGGAATTGAAAGAAATCCTCGTCATCGGCGGCACTGGTGCCCAGGGAAGACCAGTCGTTAAGGGTAATTTCAGCATTCTCGACAGAACCAAATCTGCACATCACTCTAACATCGTTGAACAGCTCTCGCCGAAACCAAGCGATACAGCGTCAGGGTCCTCACCCGTAACGTTGGCAACGCCCGCGCCAAAGAACTTGCCACGCTCCCCAACGTCACCCTCGTCCAGGGCAAACAAGACAGCCAGCAGGATCTTCACCGGGCATTTAAGGGTGTCTACGGCGCATGGGTCAACACGGACGGCTTCACTCTGGGCCAAAAGAGTGAGCTCTTCTACGGCATCCGCGCGTACGAAATTGCCAGGCACGAAGGTGTTCAGCATTACGTCTGGGCTGGCACCGATTATGCGCTAAAGAAGTCAGGATGTAAGCAAGAACTGAGGCTTCTGTTTTCTCATTCGAGCTGTTGATTTGCGTTGCTGATTGGCTTGAATAGGGAACGAGAGATACCATTGGGGCCACAACGATTCCAAAGGAAGAGTCACGGATTTCATCTTGGCCCAAGGTCAGGACGGCATGAAGAGCTCCGTCCTCACGACAGGTCCCTACATGGACATGCTCCTAGATGGAATGTTTCCACCGACAGAGCAGCCGGATGGCTCTTTTCTCTGGGTGAACCCTGCCAGTACGTATCATGCCCTTAGTCACATCGTTACCACGATGTCTTGGGCAACAACCTAATAATATTACAGAGGACGGCAAAATCCCGCTTATCGCTCTCGAAGACGTCGGCATCTACAGCCTCTGGCTTTTTGACAACCTCAACGAGTCCGCGGGCCTGAACCTGGAAGTAACGACCGACGAAGTCAGCTTCGCCGACATTGCGAGGATCTTCACCGAGGTGACAGGAAAGAAGGGCATCCACAAGAGCGTGCCGTTTGAGGAGTACGCGCCGCTCGCAGAGCCGTACCCGGGTGCCTATGTTAACTTTTCCGTCGGTCCGGAAGTTGCCCGGGACGAGTCGGATATGACCTGGAGACAGAACTTTGGGGCGTGGTGGCGGTTCTGGGGAGAGGGCATCGTCAATAAGAGAGACTTGGAGTTGTTAGATCGCATTCATCCTGGTCGTATTCGGAGCCTGGCTGAGTGGATGCGAAAGACTGGGTATGATGGGAGCCCTAGGCCTGTTCTGAAGGGGGTTGAGGACTGGAGAAGCAAGCTGCAAGCAGGGGTCTAAGTTGGTTTGATGGTGAATGCAGGCGGGGCTTAAGCTGAAGTGGCGTTCATAGCGATCAGACAGCTTATCGCAATCTATTCCGGGCGCTACTGTTGCACAATAGTTGTGGTTTTAAAGAAGAATCTTTTCAATCTTACCCAGATCTTTGTAAGAACAAACTCCTCAAAGGGGATGATGCTTTGTCGAGTTCACCACTTAGTTCAGTAACCATCTTGTGCCACCTCCATTTTGGAAACCTAAGAGAGCTTTTGTGGCTTTGTCATTAAATAGTGAGCTATGTAAACGACACATATAAAGGGTGAGTTTCAACTCACTTATCAACATTAATACCAATGGGCAAGTAATCATCACTTGAAAACTCAATCATCATCAAATCAGAGACTAGCATTACATCTGCTCTAAGAACATCAGCAATCTAGCATATCAGAGTCACTTCTGTCCTCAGAAATGCCCTCAACACCGTCATCAGATGGATCTGCACCGCCAGATACTGGGTCGATGAATAGTTTGAAGCGGTTTTATGCGCCACAGAACTACTTGCGCATCCCAGGCCTCACGTTTGACGAAATCCCGGGCCTCATCCCACCTGAACACTCTGCGGCTCTTTACTATCTTCAACCCAAAGACTTCAACCTCAATCTCTCATGGGGTGAATACTATAGAAAGTTGGAGCCCTTCGATTGTGTAGCCAAAAAGTTGGTCGACGTCTTTGACTACTCCATCCAAGAGCTCAAAGAAGGCATCGAACCCAAAGTCATGAGACTGAGACACGACACTGTTGGAGATGATGATCCTGAGCCAGATGCCTTTTTCTGGGATGATTTCTTCGAGCGAGTGCTTGGCAATCTTGGCCATGAGGCTGAAAAGTTTGGCATGACCTCTTTAGACGTCATGTGGATTGTTTACTTATACACCAGTGCTTGGGAAAGTACGCCTCTGCCGTATAGAACCAACCAGGCGGGGAACTGGCGCAAGGCGAATATTCATTACTTGCATGATTTGCTGCCTGAGTGGGTTGAGATGTTGAAGACTAAAAAGTTGAGGTGGACAACTGTCTTTGGCGTGTTGTTTGGAATTGGGCGATGAGGGTTGATAGCCGACACCGAAAATACCGCAGAATGTATATTTGGTCTAGCTTCTTCTATGATTCCCCTCTATGTCAAAGCGACTTCCCGATTCCATGCTAATCTTCTCAGAAATGTACTATGTGCAGGAAATGCCACCAGATTGAACATCCACTCACCGGGATGGAAGCTATCTAAACACCGGCCCGAAGGCGCTCTGCAAAGTCCTTGACTGTGGTTATCAGATCCCCATCCTGAGAAAGGCCGAGGCCAAGGGCCTTCGAAACATCGAAATAAGCCGGCCAACTACCGACGATCGCCTCAATCTGCGGGCTTCTCTCTTCGCGCACCAGTTTCCTAGCCTCTGTACCTCCGACAACCTCTAGCGCATTCAGGATGTCCGCCACGGTGACAGTAACGCCGGGCAAATTCAGAACTCTAGAAATCCCAAACTTCTCATGAGGAATGCTCTTGACATCCACCAGTTCTTGACCACCGTCTTCGGAGAGCACACCCATGGGTAGTTCCGGTCCCACTGGTAAGATGTTTTCCGCTCGCCCTTGGCGACTCCTCACAATGCCCGAAGCAAAGGAGGAAGCCGCCGCGCTTGGGGCGCCTGGACGTACGATGATGGTAGGTAACCGCACAATCCGCCCATCTAGCAGCCCACGGCGTGAGTAATCTCCCAGAAGCGTCTCGATTATCAGCTTCTGGGCGCCGTACGAAGACTGGGGTACCGGGCAAGTTGTCTCGGTGTTGATCTGTCCCGGTGCTGCAGGACCGTAGACTGCCAACGAGCTGGGGAATACCACAACAGATCCGCGATGCGGAGATGCTTCTTGGCGCAAGGCATCGAGAATTACGCGGTGGCTGTCTAGGTTTACGGCAAGACCTAGTTCCAGGTTCGCTTCCGCGCCTCCAGACATAATGCCATGGAGAAGGTAGATTGCGTTGAAACGCGAGTGACTCGTAAGAAGAGAAGCGACTGCCTCTGATGAAGTGAGGTCTGTTTGAAGTGATGTCACGCGAGATGCGTGAGAAAGAGCTTGGGGCGGAATCGGAGGGGCTGTAATGTCTGTTGCTGTGAGATGAATGAAGACGATGAGAAGGAGGGCGGTGATGAGCTCCTGGCCAATGAACCCGCGGCCCCGGTTATGAGGATGTGATCTGCTTCAGATGTTGCGGCTTGAACTGTATCTTGGACGAAAAGTAGCATAGAAGAATTTGACACTGTTGCTCGAGCTTGTAGAGCGTTCAGGCGGGATTCAAAGCCTGTGAAATGAAGTAGTAGGTTTTCGATGAACTCGATTAGTCTGAGTGTATGCAGTACGATGTGTGGAATAGGAAATTTCTCAAACGATTCGTTTATGTCTTGAAGTGATTCAAATGCGCCCATTCAGCGAACATCCTCAACTTTATGCTAACAACCTAACCTAACCTAACCTAACCTAACCTAACTACTAACCTAACCCAACTGCAAACCACTAACCCTACCCCTATCCGGTATGGAAAAACAATTTTCCGGTCTCCCCGTTGAGCGGGGGATTTTCCGTCGGACGGACTGAGAAGTTAATCCGATATACCGAGAATGGCATCCCGATCGTACGAGGGACGCGAGTCCTGCATATGAACGCGAACCAACAAAGCCAATGGGAGGATCGAAATACGCGCCGAACAACATTGCTGCCTAACAAAGAATGGAAGAGGTCTTTCCCCTCTTCCCATTCTGATGAAGCATAAGTAGGCGCATCTCGTCCGCACTCAGCTCTGCCCTGATGAGCCACAACACAGGCGAAACGTGATCAGTCTTCCTTGCGGACTGCGCGTCGGCACACTTGTGTTTTCTCATTTTTCTGCAACTCAACGCTGCCCTCATTGATACAACTAACCCTAACCCTAACCCTAACCCTAAAAAAAATATTAAAATTTTAAATAGTATTTTAAAATATAAGGAGAGAAATAGGGGAGGGGGATATTAAATTATAAAAAAATAATTATTATTATATTAGCGAGCTTATTTTTTATTAAATATTTAAGAAAGCTTTTAAGGATTAATTATATTACTTATTAACTAAGTACAAGTAATCTCTTTTTAATAAATAATATAATTAAAAAGTTAAAAATTAGTAAATAAGCTTATTAAATTAAAATACTTATAATTAGCCTTTTTAATAAAATAGTAGGGAGTATTATAAATATATTTATTAAAATAAAAATAGCTTCTATTTAAATCTATATATATATATAATAATATAAATTTTAAAAGAAATAGATTAACTTAAAAGAGCTTTTATTATAAAAAGGGCCTAATATATTATAATTATAAGGTTTTTTATAAAAGTACGGTTTTATAACTAGCTAGGGAAAGTGTTACGGCCAGCTAGTCGTAGTGAGTATGTTAGCAGAAGTTGAGGCTGCGATAACTAAGTAAACAGTGTCGTAGTCGTGGATAGCTTCCCTGAAGCTATGTCTGTAAATCGTAAGGTGGGTAAGGCTTCGGTGATCAATCGTAGTCTTGTCAGAAGGGGTTCTCAGTGAAGATAGCTGAAAGCGATCGTAAGATCTGATACTAAGTTGATTGCTGAAGAAGCTATGGAAGTCTGTCCTTGTGCCCGGCTCAAGTCCACACTATATACAAGTCTCGTTCCTGAACATATTCTTTGTCCGTATGTTTACCCAACGGTTCCCGTGTTCTGAACATACGGGTTCCGTATCGTGAAAGGACGGACCCCGTATCTCGAACGTACGGGTTCCTTATCTCTTATCGTCACGTGACTTGTCCCATAGTTCTTCCGTCCCGAGAGGAGTCGCCCTGAGTTCGTGTTCCCGCATATATGGTGTGGTAGCCGCCGTAGGTCCTGTGGGGCAGGCCCTGGCCTTGTCATGCGTGTTGGGTCGTAACATCAGCTCCTCCTCTCAAAGGTCTAGTCCTCTAGGCCTATAAGTAGGTCCCTTGTTCCCAGGTTGGGGAATCATCAAGCTTGCCTTTCTAGCGCAATGTGCTGACACGATGTCAGGTCGTGTTGAAAAACGTTCTTTGAAAAACACTATCTCGAAACTTCGGTCGGCTTGTGACGACGTGTTTGATCGTTTTGGTTCTAGCGACGTTATGCCCTGCACTCGGTGTTTTCGCGCCAAACGTCCATGTCGGATGGCTGATGGCGCCAAAACGTGCCAAGGCTGCAAAAACCTGAAGCGTTCTTGCGATGGTCTCGTTGTGGCATCGAGTCGTTCGTGCTTCCGCCGTTGTTCCGGTTTCTTAGGCTGACTATTTCGTAGTGCAACGGCTGAGTGACCAGCGTCAAGAATGGGAAGAGAAGGAGGAGCAGGCTAGCGACGCCTTGCTCGATCTTCATGAAAAACTGGCTCGGATACAGTCAGAGGTTGCTGAGGCAGCGGGCCGTCTTGCTCGTATCCGGGCGATCCGAAAGAAAGTGAAGGAGAGGCATGTGGAAACTTTTGCTCGTGGTATGCAGGAGTTGGAAGAAGAGGATGGTGTTCTTCCTGCGCTGGATGCTCACGAGCGGTGGGTCGTGAGCGATCTCCAGGCTGCTGGCGTTTCTAATGATGCCGACTGGCCTTCTTTCGGGATTGGCGACGAGTTCGCGTCCCTGGGGCCGTTGGTGTCGTCTTCTGGTAATCCTCGAGAAGCTGTCGAGAGTTCTGGAGGTTCGTGACGGGTTCCCATGTGTTTTCCTCGTGTCCGTAGTTTTCCATTTGATTAAGAATTCTTTTGTTTCGTTCCTGACTCTATGGTCGATGATTTTTTCGACTTCGTATTCTGGTTCATTGGGTTCCACGATGATGCAATCTTCTGTGTGTGAGCCCTTAGGTGCTGGTTCGAGAAGTGAAATGTGAAAGACTGGATGACACTTCATCGTGTCTGGTAGTCTCAACTTGTAGTTGACGTTTGAGACTTTCTGAATGATTTCGAAAGGTCCGAGCTTTTTGTAGTCCAGTTTGTCGCTTGGTCGTTTTGTTTTGATGTTGCGGCGAAGGAGGTAGGCGCTATCTCCCTCTTCCAAGGTTGGTCCTCCAATCCTTGATCTATTCGCGTTTTTCTTCATGCGTTGACGTACAAGCTCGAGATCCAAAGATGCTTTCTTCTGGATTTCTTTGAGTTTTGCCACGCTGGCCACTGCTTTAACAGCTTGTGGTCCTTGTCGTGCTTCTCCGTACACTGTTGGCTGATATCCGTAGTTCAAGTAGAACGGGGATTCTCTTGTGCTTTCGCCAACTGCACTGTTGTATGCGAATTGGGCCATTGGTAACAATGTTACCCAGTTGTTCTGATCGTAGTTCACATAACAACGGAGGTATGTCTCGAGAATCTGGTTGATTCTTTCTGTCTGTCCATCGGTCTGCGGGTGGAAAGAGGTTGACAGTTTGTGATCTGTACCAAGTTGCGAGATCAGGGATCTCCAAAACTTTGAAGTAAACAGAGAGCCTCTGTCAGAGATAATTTCCTTCGGCGTACCGTGGTTGGCAACAACGATTTTGAGGAACGTGTACGCTAACTCTCTGCGCTGCGTGGTATAAAGTGGGCGAACTTGGTGAGTCGATCGACTATAACCAAGATGCTGTCGTACCATACGTTCGTGAGTGGTTCTTTGGACTTTGGTAGTTTGACGATAAAGTCCCATGAGATTGATTGCCATGCTTCCGTTGGTGGTTGCAATGGTTGCAGCTCGCCATAGGGCTTGTGCGGCTGTTCTTGCTTTTCTTGCAGGTCGCACAGTCCTTAATTGCTTCCGCAATTTCTGCGCGTGTGGCGGATTTGTCGTAGTGCTGGCGAATCCGTTTCCACGTTTTAAACTCCTGACCGTGTGCAGGTGCACTGTGAATTTCCATGATGAGCTCAGGGTCATCCTTCCAGTCGGGCTGGTACTGATCCTTCTGGCTATCATAAGAAGCTTCGTTTGGTACACTACCGTCTTCTTCTTGTTTGAGGATAACCTGTGTCTCCTCGGGGACCGTGACTTCGTGGTCGGGTCTTCTGCTGAGCGTCTCTCTGCTGTTTTCTGAACCTTTCCGATAAATGATTCGGAAGTTGTATTCAGATAGGAACTCGCTCCATCTGACTTGTCGTTTGTTCAGGTTCTTCGTGAAGTTCGCGAGATTCTTGTGGTCTGTGTAGACTGTGACTTCATGCTTGGTTCCGGATAACTGTGGTCTCCATTCTCGAAATGCTTCGATGATGGCCATCAGTTCTTTGTCGTGGATTTGCCAATTCAATTCTGCTCCGTGAAATGCTTTGGAGTAGAAACAACATGGGTGAAGCTTTCCTTGTTCGTCTCGTTGTCCCAAGACCGCTCCCATGGCGAAGTCTGAGGCGTCAGTCTCGACTTCAAAGGGCTTCCGGGGTCTGGAATTCTGGTAACTGGTTCCGAGACGACCATATTTTTGACCTTGTGAATGCTTCTTCGCACTTGGGATCCCAAATGAATGGGGCATCCTTTCGTGTCAAGTTGTTGAGAGGTCTGACGATGTTGGCATAGTCCTTGAAATCGTCGATAGAAGTTGACGAATCCCAAGTCCTTGTACGTCCTTGACGTTCTGCGGTGTAGGCCAGTCCCTGACTGCTTCCACCTTTGATGCTTGCATGTGGATTTGTCCTGGCGTGATGGTGTATCCGAGAAGTCTACCTTCTGTACGTGAAACTCGCACTTGGAGGTTCGGCGTACAGTTTGGCATCCTGGGTTTCTGAAATACCATGTGGACATGCTCCTTGTGTGTTTCGAGGTCGGGAGAGAAGATGAGAACATCATCAATGTAGACAACAACAAAGATGTCAACGAACTCCCGGGTACGTGGTTGACCATCGTTTGAAAGGTTGCCGGAGCATTGGTAAGTCCGAAGGGCATGACGAGGTACTCGAAGAGTCCTCTGCGAGTCCGAAATGCCGTCTTCCACTCGTCTCCTTCCTTGATTCGAATCTGGTTGAATGCTTCCTTGAGATCTATCGCGGTGAACCAGTTGGCTCCGTGAAGTAGGTCTCTGAGCTCAGTGATGAGGGGTAAAGGATAGCAATTCTTCTTCGTGATTTCGTTGAGTTTCCTGTAGTCGATAACTGGTCTCGATTTTCCTCCTTTCTTTGGTACGAAGAATAAGGGGAATCCTGCGGGGGATTTCGAAGGTCGAATATGTCCCTTTTCGAGCTTCTCGTCGATGTACTCGTCGAGATAGTCTTGTTCTTCTTGATTCATAGGGTATATTGGATAGAACCGGGTTGCGTTCCTTCTTTGAGTTCGATTTCCATATCCCAGCTGCTGTGTTCTGGTAACCCTGTTTCTTCAGGTTCCATGAATAGTTTCGTGTATATCCGGTACTCCTCGGGTATAGTCTGGAGTCGTTGCGATCCTCGATCGTCGGTACCGGTGCGAACATCCTGTCGTCTTCTATCGTCCTGATGAAGGCTATGTATCGTGTTTGTTCTTGTTCTTCAGGTGTTGCTTGAAATCCGTTTGAACCCTTTTCTTAGGTCGTTCAGTGACTGGATTTTCCCATAGGACCTGGCCAGTGGTCCAATCTATCCGTGGGTTGTGTTTTCGTAACCACGAGATTCCTAGGATGACGTCGATGTCTCCAATCTCCGTGATGTCGTACTGTAGTTGTTCTTGTTGATCGTTGATATATGTCGAAAGGTGTACGGTCTCTCGATTGACATATCCGTCATCATAGTCAACTCTTTCTCCTTCTACCGTTTGTAGTTTGTATGGATTGTCCTTCCATACCCATGGTAGGTCGAGTTTGTTCATTACTCTTGGTGATATGAAACTTCCTTGTGCGCCGCTGTCGATTATAGCGCGCAGTCTGTGTCCGTGTATTTCGAGTTTGACCCATAGGTGTGCGTCGTTGCACTGTCTGGTTGCACATAGGAACTTGTCTTCGATTTTCGCCTTTCGTCGTTCCTTTGCGATTGGCCTTCCTAGTTTTTGACAGTCTGTTTCTCAGTCGTGCTTCTTGTTCAATTTGTTCCTCTCGTTCCTCCAGGCTTGGGATTTGGGAACGTAGTGGATCTGACAATGGTCGTGTCTACATTCGTCCCATTCCATGTCGTTGCTGTTCTGGCATCGCATAGGAAAGCATGGGTCTGGTTCGAATGTTGCCTTGTCGAGTCCATTGAAGTATGTGAGCGTCCAGTTCGGTAGTTGGTCGTCGACGTAGACGTCCTTGATAGGTCGGTCGTCGCGTCTTCGGGGGTAGAAGCGACTTTCTTTCTTGGGTGAGAGATGCCAGAGACACTTATCGTCGAGGCATTCTGCCCAAAATAATTCTTCGTGGAATGCGTCCTTGGTGTTGAGCAAGGAGCTATCTCCTGACTAGTGGTGTCATAGGTACTTCCTTAGGTTGACTAGTTCCGTGGAACTGTACTGTCTGGTCGTCTTCGTACGGATCAATGTTCTTACACCGTGGTTCTTCGGGTTCCTCATCAGAGCTGGTGTCGTCCACACTAGGATAGAATCCATGGTCGATCTCCGTCTGAGCACGTCGTCGAGCGACGTCGCGAGGTTCGTCCGAATCATAGGGTGATTCTTCGTCGAAGGTGTGGCTGCTGGAGCCGATCTCAAGTTCGTCCTTCTTGAGTCGAAAGTCTACCTTTCCATTCTTGATTTCGAAGTCAAGATTGGGCCTCTTGATTACTTCGATTTTGTCTTCGCGTTCTAGGTTCTTGAGTTGTTCTTTGACCTTGCGAATGAATTTTTTGTTTCCGTCGTCTCGTCGCATCACACAGATGGATTTGGTCGGGATGTCGTCCGATGGGGTCCCTTCTTCCTAAGGGATTGTTTCTTGTTGTTTCGTCGTGCCATGTGGACGAGATTACCCATGATTTCTTCTGTGTCGGGGCCTCTTTCTTCGAATTTGAGGAGTTGCTCCCTTGTACTTGCCTGAAGTCTTTGCATGATTCTTTCTTCAAGGAGATGAAGGGTATCCTTCATGATGGGGTCTGTCTTGGCCTTCTCTTCTATATTCTGGCAGATTTGAGAGAGTATGGCGACACATTCGATGTTGTTATCCTCGAGGGTGAGAGGTCGGTAGATGGGTATCTCTTCTTCTTTGGTTGCCACCGCTAGGTCTTGACAGGTGGTGGGGTGGTGTCGTATCCGGGTCGTTCGTTGTTCTTGGGTTTTTTAGGGTACCATCCGGTTTGTTCCTTACTGTCTTGGTGAATAAGGCAGTTGTCGTCGTAGCAAGCCGTCCATGAGAGTTGTGCGTGGGGAATTTCCTTGCTCGCGATATTGGCTCGTTTTTCTGGAACGGGTTGGTGTTGGATGCGTTTGGGTTGTCGGCAGTCTCTAGCCATGTGTCCTGGCTTGTCGCAGTTGTAGCATTTGAAGTCCTTCCTGGGGCGGTTGTCTTCTCTCTTGGCGACACTGAGATCCATGGGACCGTCATGTTGTCCGTAGGCAGTGCTTTGTCGGTTGTTGTTCCAGTTGTTGCGAGGTCGCTGGTTCGCCTGGAAACTGCGTTGAGGTTGCCATTGGTACTTGCGTCCGGTGTTAGGTCGTTCCTTCCTTTCCTTCTTGCGTTCATAGAGTCGGTTGTCAATTCTGATGGCGAGTTCTCCGTACTGAAGGAAGTCTTCTGGTCTGTCGAGCTTGACCAGCTCGTCCTTGACTTCGTCCTTCAGTCCTTGGTAGAACATGAACATTTTGGTGTCGTCAGTGAGGTCCAG